CTTCATGAAGAAATTAATGTACGTAATGCATGATCATGTAAAGATGCCATGGCTTCATGAAGAAATTAATGTACGTAATGCATGATCATGTAAAGATGACATGACTTCATAAAGAAATTAATGTACGTAATGCATGATCATGTAAAGATGACATGACTTCATGAAGAAATTAATGTACGTAATGCATGATCATGTAAAGATGCCATGGCTTCATGAAGAAATTAATGTACGTAATGCATGATCATGTAAAGATGACATGACTTCATGAAGAAATGAATGTATGTAATGCATGATCATGTAAAGATGCCATGGCTTCATGAAGAAATTAATGTACGTAATGCATGATCATGTAAAGATGACATGACTTCATGAAGAAATTCATGTACGTAATACGCTGATCATATAAAGATGCCTTAAACCATGAAAAATTATGTACGTAATGCATGATCTGAGATGACATATTGAAGAAAATTAATGTACGTAATATGATCATGTAAAGATGCATATTCATGAAAATTAATGTAATGCATGATCATGTAAAGATGCCATGACTTCATGAAGAAATTAATGTATGTATGCATGATCATGTAAAGATGACGACTTCATGAAGAAATTAATGTACGTAATGCATGATCATGTAAGATGACATGGCTTCATGAAGAAATTAATGTACGTAATGCATGATCGTAAAGATGTATGCTTCATGAAGAAAATGTACGTAATGCATGATCATGTAAAAGATGACCTGTATGAAGAAATTAATACGTAATGCATGATCATGTAAATGACATGGCTTCATGAAGAAATTAATGTACGTAATGCATGATCATGTAAAGATGCACAGGCTTCATGAAGAAATTAATGTACGTAATGCAGTCATAAAGATGCCAACTATAAAAGTGAAATGTACATATTGCATGATGTATAAAGATGCCATGGCTTCATGAAGATAATGCGTAATGATCATAATGATGCCGACTATAAAAATTAATGTACGTAATGCATGATCATGAATGACATAACTACTTGAAGAAATTAATGTGCATAATGCATGATCATGTAAAGATGACACAACTTCATGAAGAAATTAATGTACGTAATGCATGATCATGTGATGCCATAACTGAAGAAATTAATGTACGTAATCAACAAAATGCCATGCTTCATGAAGAAATTAATGTACGTAATGCATGATCATGTAAAAATGACATGCTTTTGAAGAAATTAATGTATAATGCATGATCATGTGAACCGCCGGCTTCATGAAAGAAATTAATGTAATGCATGATCATGTAAAGATGCCATGGCTTCATGAAGAAATTAATGTACGTAATGCATGATCATGTAAAGATGACCAACATGAAGAAATTAATGTACGTAATGCATGATCATGTAAAGATGCCATGGCTTCATGAAGAAATTAATGTACATGTGCATGATCATGTAAAGATGCCATGACTTCATGAAAAATTAATGTACGTAATGCATGATCATAAAGTGACAGCTTCATGAAGAGTAATGTACGTAATGTGCATGATCATGTAAGATGACATGACTTCATGAAAAATTAATGTATGTAATGATCATGTAAAGATGCCATGGCTTCATGAAGAAATTAATGTACAATGCATGATCATGTAAAGATGCCATGGCTTCATGAAGAAATTAATGTACGTAATGCATGATCATGAATGCCATGAAGAGAAATTAATGTACGTAATGCATGATCATGTAAAGATGCCATGGCTTCATGAAAAATTAATGTGCATGAAATGCATGATCATGTAAAGATGCCGAGCTTCATGAAAGATTAAATAGCGTAATGCATGTGTAAAGTGTGAAGCTTCATGAGATGATTGTAATGCATGATCATGTAAAGATGCCATGGCTTCATGAAGAAATCAATGTACGTAATGCATGATCATGTAAAGACCGGCATGAAAGTAATGTACATGGCCATGTAAAGATGCCATGCTTCATGAAAAGAAATTAATGTACGTATGCATGATCATGTAAAGATGCCATGACTTCATGAAGAAATTAATGTACGTAATGCATGATCATGTAGATGCTGGCTTCATGAAGAAATTATTTAGACTTGTTTTGATTAGAAAAGTGATTAGCTAAAATGTTTTTTAAGTTTTGTTCTGCTCAAGTCAAACATAGTGTAGCTAAAGTTCAAGATGAAATCGGGATGCGTTGAGAGCAATAAAATACTGTTTTGTTTTGGTGAATGTTTTGTATGTTTTCAAAAATCGAAAACAATTGAAATTCTTGAAAATGCGTCGAGTTAAGTTAAAGGAAGTAGTCTTTCGTTTTTGTTCCGGCAATTTCGTCTTTATGAAAATTGGACTTCATGTTTACATTCAAAACGGTTGAAAATTTTCCGAAATGAATGCACTCTCATTTATTCCAATTCAATTATCAGTAACCTCATCAAACTTTTCTCACCAATCACAATCGTGCGCATGCACTTCGTAGCACAATCGCTAAAGGAGACCTGGGTCTGAGTTTCTTGTTGCGACAAATAATTAGTTTTAGCAAGAAAGCGAAGAACCTTTCGATTCATAGCGAAAAATACCTCGTATTACTCATAAGAAAGCTATTGACCCAAGAAGAAAAAACAAAACAACGAAAAAATGTTTTATTTACTGTAAAAAAACACACAATTAGCTATAACATAATTCATTACAAAGTAATATAATTGCGACAAAACTTCAGAAAACTTTATAAAATGTTTAACTTGTTGCGTTATAGCTCACCCAAAAAGAGCATTTAGCAATTAAACTTTACAAGATACTATAAAATGATTGGTACTTACTTCGTCTGAATTTTTTCAGAAAGATCAACTTTGATGTCTTCTCCGCGATCGTGACGCTGAACATTTTGGATTCGGGTTCGAGACGCAGTTTTCTGCGTTCTCGTTTGCTTTTTATCCTTTCCGAAGCAGCAAGAGAAACAGTTACCCATTTTCTCGTTGCTACTTAACAATGAAAATATCTCTTTTCGAAATTGCTTTGAAAATATGTAGAACCTTGCGATGCGAGCTATTGCTGCGAAATGAACAAATTAACATTGCGTGTTTATTCTGACGATAGTAATTGGCTCCGTTTATTGTTACGTCACTAATTGGTTCCGTGCGCTTTGTTACACCATTAATTCTAAAGAGCCGGTGCATGCTGGTCGTGCCTTGGGAACTCTAGCACAACCTGTGACGTTAAATCATGGCAAACACACTGAAGTGGATCCTAGTGTTGTATAGCTGGCTGTTCTCTAGACAGTTATTGAGGTCGTATATGGCATTGTATTGAAATTAGGTATAGTAGTTCTCCTAATAATTAAACTTCAGCAGAACAAGCGAGTAAATTTGAAACACTGACTACGGAGCCTGTTCAAAGAGGACGGAGGAGAATAAGATGAGAAATGTATGTGTATGTGGGACGCTGAATTCTCCTCCCTCCCCCAATCAATTGCTTGCTTCTATGGAAAAGTGTAAAGCAGAGGCATGTCTGCTATGTTATGGGCTGCGAACCGTGACTGAAAAAAGCCAAAAAAACTTAATTGATGTTAGGACAGTGAACACTTATTTTGCGTGAATTAAGTGTTTTATTATGTTAGTATTGACTCAAAAATTTCTTCGTAATATGATTGGCTGATGTCTCGTAGGGTTGCAGTATTTAACAAATGGAAACACAAGGAAAATTCATCATTTATATTTTCAGTAAATCTGTGCTCTTCAATATGGCGAACCGCTGTGGCAAATATTCATTCGAAATGTGTTATTTTTCATTATTTTGTCATAGTTTCTCAAGCATATACGGTTTGGAACTTGCAAGCTCGAATGGATATGTGAAGAGAACATTCACTTTCGAAACCATTTCAAGGTGCTGCATTTTAAAACTATTTTTCTTCGGTCGAACCGGCTGCTCGTGCTCGGCGCCCGACGGACTTTGAGCCTTCCAAATTTGACGGAAAATGCACTTTTTTGTATATCGCCTTCTTGACACTTCTTAAGCGTTGCTGCTGGTTATTTTAATTTATGTAGAAATAAATTGACATTGATGAAAATCTACAATTGATTTGCTAACTCAGCATGTTCAGAATTAATCAATAGTAGTATTTCAAAGTTTTCCAACATGTAAGTTGTGGCGTTTTTGTCATAGTCCTTAGAGCTTACAGCAGTTTTTATTTAGTTGGTAGCACTAGCCTGCAATTTTGGGATTTTGGTGGTGACACATTGATAACCAGTAATCATATCCGATTGACCGAGGATCATCAAAGTCAAAAAGGGTTTATTTGGAACACATTGGTCAGTGGTAATAAAATAAGATTTGTTTTATGTCCGAGTAGTGAATTAACATGAAAACTTCTTTACCATACAGCCTGTAACAGCTCGCGATTGGGAAATCCATATCCATTTTCAGTTCATGGTTCTGGAGATTCACTTTATGGAGATGGCTTTGCGTTCCATTATGCTAAAGAGAAAATGGAATTCGGTAATAAATTGAGTTTATTTAGTAAATTTCATTAAATCTATGGATGTGGAAAGTTCATATGATAAATTTATGCACAAATGTTATTTGTATTGTTTAGGTCCAGTCTTTGGAAGCAAAAATTTCTTCAGGACTTGCTGTTTTCTTTGACACTTATAGTAATGCAAATGGTGATAACGCTGTAAGATTGATATCCATTGAAGTTTTCTTCAAAGCAAACCACATTTCAGCAATGATTTTTCTTCTTGATATAGGCAGACCACCTTATATATCAGCTATGGTAAACAATGGTACCTTAAACTACGACCATAATCGTGATGGTGCTTATTCACAAATACAGGGCTGCTCGGTTTGTATTTTACCTCTTGTATAACTGTTTTCATGATTTCAAGCGCTCATTGAATATCTTCATGGTCCAATTTGACAGTTCAGATATTTTCTTAGGCTTCTTTTCGCATAATGGAGCGGAAACATATGCTTTGATTCAGTACTTGGGTAGCAAAAGAAACTTTAACAGTTATGACAGACATTGATAGTGATGGTGAATGGAAAGCATGTCTTCAGGTCTCTGGTATACGACTTCCGACTTCATATTTCATTGGTCTTAGCGCTGCTACTGGCAATTTGGCAGGTGGGTCACTGTAAAATGGCTTATGAATTTCTCAGAAGCAAAGATATTGATAAAATACAAGAAAAGTCGTTCTTCTGAACTGTGTTATAAAGGTAAAGTTGTGCCAAGCATTTCTTTGTTTCCCTGAAAAGATTGAGTAAATGGATTTTGGTAGTTTTTGCTTTCAAACGTAACACATTGCTGACAAAGACATTAAAGAACGAGTATAACAGTAATGCCTGCGCTTAGCGAGCCATATTTTAGGGACATCCAATGATGGCGTCATTTTAGGTTGTTAGTTCCACAAAATGTCTACTGCCAAATCTGGTCTATTAACGCTAAAGCGTGGTAGGGCATGAAATGAAGACGAAATAGCAAGAGTAAAGTTTGGAGAAAGACGTTATTTTAAGTTCAGTTATTCAGTTGAACTATCTGCATCATATATCAGAAGTTTAATTCCAGTAGTAAACACAGGCGTGCTGTAATATTCATTCTTTGGATGTCGCGTTACCTGTTAAGATCATCTTTGAAAAACGTCGTTTTATCGTGGTACTAATCATAATTCCTGCACAACAGATAATCACGACATCGTCGGTTTGAAATTCTACGAGTTGGAAGTTGAGAAAGATGAACAAACAGTTAGAAGTACAGAAAACACCGATGACATTGTCCCATTTGTAAAAGCGGAACCTGTTAAAGGTCAGTAAGTTCAATACATATCATGGCTCATACATACTAGGGCATTTTGTTTTGCATACCTTGTACAATATCATGACTCATCATACCAGCGACGTTGACATTTAAAATTTTTTTCTTCCAGAGCCTGTCGAGAATTCCCCGAAAGGACACTATACACGGCGAATGACGAAAGCGTTCACGTGGTTTTTCTGGATTTTGGTGGTCGGTGTCATGTTTGTGTGGTCGGATTTTTGTATACAAGAAGCAACAGGAGGCTGCACGCAAACGATTTTTAACGAAATGAACAAATATCTTTCTGCATCGCTAAAAATTTGTAATCTTTACACAAAATGCCTCAAGACAGATGGCGGCATGTCTATTTTACCAGAATGCATTTCAATCTTCACACAAAACGGATGAATGTGTGTGTGTGTAATCTCGAAACGACGTCTGTTCAACAATATGTACGTCAAATCGAATTTGGAGTATTCATAACTTATTGGAAAATACTCATCCGTCATCTCCAGTTATTGGAAAAATACTCATCCGTCATCTCCAGTTATTGGAAAAATTCTCATCCGCCATCTGCAGTTAATTTCACAATCGAGAAGTTACAAATTGTTGCGTTTGAATTGCCACATTGTTTGAGGCAACAACACACTCACCGCCTGTTGTAGCTCTATAAATAATTCAAAATAAATTATCGCGGGAATGCGGGCTCAAACAGGTCGTTGAAAGACTAATCACTCGAACTTTTGGCAAAGTAATTCAACCATAGTTAACTGGAAGAAACAAGGCGCCGCCGCGCAATGCATAACGGTATCAATTTACTGGTTAACGTATATGTTTACTGTGCTCACTATTTTAGCTACTTTTTCTATCATTCAATAATCTGTGTATACATCACAAATCCGGACGCTAGCAATATCAAATTACATTTGGATAAAATATTTCGGATTTTCTTTATTTGAAAATTAGACGAAGACATAATTAATTAATTGAAGACATCGTTACAAGTAAAATACGTGTTTTTTTAAACAAAGGATAGAACGCTTCGTCTATCCATGTAAGTTAAATAATATCAGCCTGTCAGCCTCTGTAATACATCGTGCTAAGGTTCATTTTACAGACAAGAACTCACACTGCAGCTATATGATTAGCTGCAAGCAAGTCTTGACACAAAATAAGGTGAGTTGAATGATGGCGAGCCCTTAGGGACCGCCATCACCAATCGTCATTAAAATTACCTAAAATTTCATACAATCAAAGTGCATCTATCGCAGCCTTGAATTACCCACACATACCTGTCAATACGATAACATACATAAGTTACTATTTACCTATAAAATCGATAGTTTCTAGAAATCTGCTCTTTTCATTGGTCGAGATGTGTCGAATTGATCGAGAGGGACAAGTGGATTTACTTCACTATATCTTGTCGACTTGGTTAACCTACGAGGTGATGAGTCATCGTCTGCGAAACTCCTTTGAGTGACAAGCGGTTTCATGTTGGGCGCTTTCATTGTCCAGTTGACCTGAAAAAGAACTACGTTTTAGAGATCGTCAAACGTGACCTTGTCATATACGTCACTATTTGCTCTTTTTCTTCAATCCAATTGGTCATTCCAATTGACAAGATACTTGCAGTCAAGCAACTATGCCCCAGCAATCACAAATAGCTACACATGTAATGATCATCGTTGGTAGTAATCTATACACATCTATCATCGACAAAACCTAATGTAACACAACCTAAAGTTTGATGGGCGAATATAATATTTACTCATGAATAAAACACGATATTTAAGAAATAAAAGATGTTTACTGTGTTTGCACAGGCTTATGCAAACCGAGGAGATCTTCGGAAGAACTCGAAAGATCAGTGCAAGCCAGAGACCGAAGGTTGAGGGTTGCACATGCTCGAGAGGTTTGCATAAGCCTGTGTAAAACGAAATCTTTATTTCTAAAAATAAAATGCAAAAGACAAACATTTTAATTTTTCTTCTAAAATGTATTCATGCTCAATTTGCAAATTCTCTATGACTGATTGATTGTTATGATTGGTTGAGCTCAGTTGTGTTGCAAAGGCCAATGCAAACACAGCTCTAGACCAATCAGCGCACGTTTCATTGTGTTTAATTTATAATATGATTTAATAACTTACCACTGATCTGTTAGAACCTCGAAACTAGAAACGGAATAATGGCAAATCTTAATAATTATGAAATTCAACGTTGAGTCGAATCACTTGTTTTTGCTCACTTACCTTAGTAGAAGCGACATAAAGCTTTGACTGTTAGTATAACAGCATTCATCAAGTTTTCGCAGCTGTTATAAGAGAAGTTGCACTTTCCAACTGATAAAGAGAAAAGGAAACTTTAAATCATGGTCTCGAAGTTAGCTAGTATATTAATTAAGCAAAGGAGACACAATTAGCTCCGCATATTTCATTTCAAGTTGGACGCTATGGCAACTACCGCTAAAGTGGTCAATTTATTTCGAAAAAGAAAGTCACAAATATCTCCGCTGGCAACGGACTTACCGCTGACACAACAACGGACTTACCGCTGACACAACTTCGACGCCACTGATTGTCTGGATATCAGCTTTCACTCGACTGGTGATGGTGAGTTGATGTGAAAAAAGAGAGACGCGTTGAATGTATGCGAGAAGATCGTTCTTCGATTGAGAATGAGGACACTAAAGTCAGGAAAAGAAACTTGGATGCAACACGAGTGCGAAAATCAAATACATGCAATAGAGAGCAATAAAAGTACAATACCCGGCCTTGGTTGCGAAGCCTGGATAGCGTTGTCCATTGGGCAGCAATTTTTAAACTTTATAAACCAACCAAAAAAATATAAGATTCGAATTGAGCAATCACTGAAATAAAATATTTTTCGAAGATAACGAATATTCTTTGTAAAAAATACACGGAAAATTTTGCTATCCAATGGATAACGCTATCCAGGCTTCGTGCAACCGGTCTCTGCAATATAATATTTACAAGAAACTCAAGCTTTCATTTTTTTTTTTTAGAAAGACAATCTCTTTCGTTTGCTTAAATATCCAGATTAGACAATTGGCAAACGCAAAGGGTAACATTGTGTCTAAGGACAGATATCTTCCACTGGATACCATCGCAAGAACATCCTATCTTGTTGAGACATAAATGTAATTTTCTCACAATAATTAAGTTTAAAATAAACTGAAAAATTTGCCCGGGCATTAGAGACGTACAATGCTCACATAATGAAGCATTTCAGGCGGCAAAATTTTGCCTTGTTGTTCGCTATTATGTTTGCTCAACAAATAAATCACAAGCACCTTTTCAGCTTCTGTTGATAATTGATTTATTCTTTCGCCAGCTTTTGCAATACGCTACAACCAAACGCAAACAAAAATATCAGAATCACCCAGAGGAATAATTAACATAAATTTTCTGTGCCGGCACTTTGAAGTCATGAACAAAATAATACATCATTATTTTATTCAATCAGTCACGACATAGAAATGGCCAGAATTATTACATTGACGTCACATTATATTGTGATATTTTTAATTTTTCTCTTTGCTGTTGTACATTGACATATATATAATTTTTTTTTTCTATATCAAATCACAAGTCGGAGTTCATCTGCTTCAGAATCGACACTCACCTTTGCCGCATCCATGGTTGTCTCAATGTTCCAGTACCTCTGTTAATATAAAAACAAACAGCGTTTGTTTGATCTCAGAATGATAAGGAAAGTCGTGATTAACCAACGTACTAAAGTAAATGGTTTGAACCGGGTATCGTTACAGGTTTGTAAATGTAGATCGTCCAGGTTGGTATAGTCTTGAGAAGGACTGTTTTGTTGACTGACGTTTCGACAACCTTAGCGAGTCATCTTCAGAGTCAACAACGAAAACAGTCCTTCTCAGGACTAACCAACGTCTACGCTTACTATATCAACATGTATATAAGTCCGACATAATCATCATCACACACATCTTCTTAGCCAAAACAACAATCTCGTTGCCAGATTCATCCCACTGTGACAACATATTTTCGAACCTCGATTTCTCTGAACGCAGCTCGGTTGACAGTTGTTCAATTTTCGCCTTATCTTCGGCGGGCATCTTTCATTTTGCCTAGTTTTATGAAAAAAAGATCGAAAAACTGACCCAATCACAAAACACAATGCATCATGGTATATGGCTAAGCCTATATGTAAGTAGATATTAAAATGGAAATACGTAGATCGATACGCACCGCGCCATCTTACAACTGTCTCAATTTCATTAAGGTGTTGGCAGGTTTAATTTAAGAGGCACCCACCAATACAGTCTGCCATAACGGGAAATCAAAGAAAAGACATGAAAATATTATTTAGTAATGATTAATATAAAGCATACACCCTGTCACTCATTTCCGCGAAACTCGTTCCAGTTTCTTCATCATCGCTATCATTTTCAGGTTCAGGTTCGGGTTCGGCTGCGAGTTCGAAACCGTCGACGGCGACAAGCGAAGGCGGACGAACTAAAAGTAACAGGAAACGTGTTGAAACGTGCTGCACAGGAGAATCTCAAATCTTCTCAATAGTGATGCAAAAATTCGTTAAACAAAATACCTGGTTCTTCCTCGACTGCCTTCACGGTAGGTAAAGAAACAAAGTCGGATAATACTGAGGGTCCTTCGTATCGAGGCTTCGATTCCTGTGTGACCCAATCTACTGCATCTGGTCCCGTGTATCCCATAAATACCCAAGAGCCACCTGGTCCAGGATTTACATTACCAGTAGCACCGATACGACCAAGCGAATCCTTTGCTTCATTAACACACCTGTAAATGAGCTTTGATCGTAAATCTGGATTTGACATTGATCTAATTTAATCCGGAGTTTATCTAAACTATGAATGTTTTATGCAGTGCGGTGTTTGAAACAGAGGTCATGGGTTCGAATCCTTGAGTCACCTGATTTTTCAGGTTTGAGACAATTGCTTAAAATTGTCCAATAAAGTGCGAAGATCATATCTTCATCTAATTTATCTAAACTCTTGCATTCATATTGTTATTTAGTATAGTGTGTCTCTTCTAGCTATAGGAGTTTTAGCAGAGCCTACGAGTACGACTGAGTACGATTTACGTCATTTTGGCGCGAAAACATTGTTGAAACAACAAAACACGTAGCCGTCATCAATCTGAGTACGATGTTTTGTAAAAAATTCGTAATCGCGACTACGATGTCTTTTTAAGCAAAGAAAGTAGGTATATGTCTTCATTCTGTAAGAAATTAGTTTACAGTACTATTTTCGAGCATCCAGGCTTTAATTTAGAACCCTTTTTGAGCGCAGATGTTCATTAAAAAGGAAAATATGACCTGCAAAACTTTCATGTATTTCGTACGCAAAGTGAAAGGTAAACAAACAATAAAATAGTACAAATATATCGTACATAAAACTTAAAATAGTGAAGATTTTCAGTCTAAAGAGTCCTATATTCTTGTAAAAAGTATTATCGATTCTTTGATATCATTATTGAAAAATAGAGCCGTAGCTGCTTCGCAAACGTCGGTGTTATACACAATAAAAAGCTCGTTCTATTTTTTCAAAAAGCAAATTTTACCAAGCGACAACGACAACAAACTTCCTCGTGCCATTCTCTTACACGGTCAAATTTCGTAACTCGTCGTAGTCGTACTCTTGCTAAAACTCTTATTCTTCACAACGACATGAAAAACAACAGTAAGTCTCAAAAGTCGCCCCAACGCAGAGTTATTTTCGATATCGGTTAACTCAAAGGTCAAATCTTAAACCACGTTGTAAAACGATATTTTTCAATGAGTTTAAATGGAAGGTTGAGGTAGTTGATACAGATGAACCCTTTTATTTGAATAAAAGCAAAATGCTGCAAAGCTCTTAAAAGTTCTTATACTTTCGTGAAGGCGGTCGTACTTTCGCGTTTCTTTAGTTTAAATGTTAAAAGACGGCTGCTTTCAAGTGGGCTGCAGTTACTTTCTCACGATATAATACCTTTAGTATCTTGTGTAGCAATGAGTAAATCCTTTCGTTCGGTAAACCATCGAGAAAACGTTGCATTTCAACACCTTCGTTCTTTGATGCATCACCGGTATCAAAACATTTCGATGTGACAAAGTTTCCACTGTCGTCGAGGACGACAACGTTATGACCTCGGTGTTTCATGCTTCTTTCTACACGTTTACTTTTATGCTACAGTAGCCTAACTTGTTAGGTCGTCGGGCCTACGAAGAACTATCTTGATTTTCCCTGTTTTATGATTATACCCAAGCAATGCTGAAATAAACAATTCTAAAGAACTGTTTTAAACCGTTTTGGGTTAGTGTTCCAGTTTCAAACAGTTCTTTAGAACTATTATGTTATTATTTGACCATTCATGGTATTTTCTCTTTAAAACAATTTCTAAATTTGACAAAATCTTGCTGGTATAGAATAAATTCAATCTTAATGTAAAGGAATTTCGATTAACTTTGGACAAAAACCAACTTCAATAGATATTTTGACCATTGACTACACCACATACAGGGCAGCAATGTTTAAAATTTGTTACACAGTTACCTCATTACAACAACAAACAGCTAATAAAGGCTGAAGTTGAAGTAAAGGCACCGGTAGTTTCCTGGGTGGCAAACTATTCAAATATGGTCTTTGGGCAATTCATCAAAAAATTTTCTCCATGGCAGCCGCCTCTGGCGCTGTTGTGTCGAAATTTTCCGACGCCACAAATTCTCCTGCGGGATCCAACACGACCACGTTATGTCCAACTCGCTTGTGACAATACTCTCCGTTCACCTTGATAGATGCCACACCCATACCACCAACGTCATCGCCACCAGATGCCCGGATGTCGTAATGAACTTTACCTTGGTAAAAATAAAAGTTATAAAACAGTCAAACCTAATGCGAATTATTACACACAAACACAAAGTCAGAAATCTATTCCTTTAAATTAACATTCTCGATGAAATTGAAAGAGGTTATCTCATCTCGTTATATTTAGTTACAGTTTTCCGAATATGTTTTATTACATATACTTCATGAAATTGTCGTAACTTTTAGTTGCAACTATTATACGTAATATGTTTGGGTATATGTGCGTGTTTATATGCGATAGATAACGATATTAATGTGTATGTGTATTTTAATGACCATATAATGCAGGACTTCAATGAAAAACACACAAGTGATGTGAGGATCTTGAATATACAAACAAATACAATTCGATCAATCATGAAAATACAATAATTGTGTTTTCAAGGACAGCAGTAAGAGAATACAGAGAACGACACCAGAATTGAAGGGCACACAGATGAACGTAAAAATCACGAGATTAAAGTGAAGGGCGAAAGAGGAGTTTAAAAAATCTTGTTTCGGAAAATTATTTCAAATATGGTCATATGCTTGGACGAGTCTGAGATGAAGAAGACTTTGAAATAAAATACTGTTCAATAAAGACTCTGTCGTGGTAAATCTACAAAATGTTTAAAAATAGCAATGGCCATGGTATACGGGCAAAACAACGCAAGACTTCTAGCAAAAGAACTGGTTTACAACCAAAACACCGACCCAATAAATCTAAAAGAACTGTTTTAAAACAGGATTCATTCCGACAGACTACTCAAACAGGTGTCAACGTCTGCAAAATGAAAACGTAAAATCAATCGAATCGACGTTGAATGAAAAATGTAAATGGAACGTTATTTTGGCCTTCCACCATGGCAATTGCTCACTTTAAAACAATTTTAAAACACTGTTTCTACCTTAAAACTTTTTACCTGCAGCTTGTATTTGTTCATAGGCGGCCTCTTCTTTAGCGACAGTCAATTCTTGTTGAACCTGGGCCGTGTAAATTGGATCGATATTCGTTTCCAACCCGTTAATGTAACGTTTCTACATCAAATTAGAACGTAAACCTAAAGAGCCTAAAACCTTCGAGGAAACGATGAAAACATTCATACCGTTTTCACGTTAACTGCTTTCTCACATCTCTTATTGCATCGTAAACCTATATAATAAAATTCTTACAGTCTTCATAATAATCCCATTCATGTTATAGCTACGGCGATAGAAAAATGAACAGTTTAACTTTAAGTGCGTGTGACATTTTAAATTATATTTTCATTGAATAGAACTTTAAAATGACACTGCACTAAGATATCGAAGTTTTTGAATAAGTCCGACTCATACAACTCGTGAAGTCATTCTGCATAATAAATCGACGCACACTTTCAGACATCCGCCAGTTTCCTTGCAAACTTTTGGTTGATACGATTGGGCAGTTTTCATGCGATCAATTCTTCACAACGAAGGAACTCCGCTCCACTGACGTAACAAATCAGCAAATATACCTCAAAATTTCAAATTTTCATGATGCAATGTGACGTCACAAATTTTGCAAAGCGTACATTAACGACACAAACTACAATATCTTGAGAACGAAGTGTCATACGAATAAACGGTTTTAGAAGAAACGCTATCTATTTGAACGTTATGTTCAATGAAAATATAATCTAAATAGCACAACTTTCGTGTCGTGTGCACTTTAAACGCCTTAAACATGTAGCAAGATGTAACAACATGAAGTTCGGTGAAAATTTGGTGAACACTTCACCAGACCAGACATGATGTTTACTTACAAGTTGCGATGCCTGAACAACAGCTTCCCCGTCAATTTTCTCGCGAGGATTTCGGTTCAAAGTTTCCACAGTTGAATCGACGACGTCGGAAAATCTTGGAATAACTGTAGAAGTTATAAATGTAAGCAATAATTAGTTTTAAATTCTTTTAATAGTTGCTACAGACCTTGTGGTCATTACAAAACAGACGATAGAGCGATTTAACAACTAACTTATCAACTGCACACTCGCAATCCAATTCATGATTTGGAATAAAAACGATTCCAACGGATATTATATAGTTGTACTGAAAGATGAAACTTTGCTATTTGAATGTATTCGTTCAACTCAATTAGAAAAACAAACAAGTGTTAAGTTATGAACGCTTTGTTTTGTGCTAATTAGCGGAAATGCAACTTGTGCAGACAATTATCTGTTCATTTAGCCATTTGTAATCAAAGAGTCAAAACTCGAACCTATCGATTTCATATCTCGCCAGAGCTACACATATCCCAGCAGAGCTACACATATCCCACCAGAGCCCCTCCACCATATCCCACCACAGTACACATATCCACCATTCCATATCCATATCCACCATATCCACCATTCCATATCCATTCCCAGCTACACATATCCCAAGAGCTACCATAGGGCTACACATATCCCAGGAGCTACACATATCCATTGAGTTCTATAATACTTCCAGACAGCTACTCCGGCATGCGCCGGGATATCTGACGCCAAAAAATGGCGGATTTCGTCCGTTGCCGCTGAGATTTACCGAAATTGACCGCTTGAAAATTTCATTTCCACTCCTCCTGAGGAAAGAGAAAGTATGTGTGTATTTGGGATTTGGCAAGCAATTTTGATGAAAATCACGATAAAACCCTACAATTCCTAACAGCAGTCAACCTAGCTTTCCAGTTATCGGCTCCTACGAGGATGTATTTATAACTATCGACGAAAGAGCTATATGTCGGCTACACATCTATGAATGCAGATATGCGTCGTTTTCTTACCAGCGTCAAACTTGTTTGATCGATTAAACTCTTTAGTCTACACAAAAAAGTATATCATAGTTCATCTCCACAGTGGTTCACGAGAGAGAAGTTAGCTTATTTGTTATCATTGCTATTTTGCTTCTTTTCGTGGAAAGGCAATGGCTTTTTTCGCCACAATTGTAGGATTTTTACTTGTTTCTTTAAAAAAGTAAATATTAAATCTCTGGATATTTACGGATTTTCTGTAATTGAGTTTCATATTAAATTTCAAAAAGACTCAAGTCTGCATAGGTTTGGTAAATGAAAACAAACAATATTGTATAGAAATTACTTTAAGTAACCTTTTTGTGATGTTCTGAAGTGCAACTGCATCAAATACTTGTAAAGTTGTAGCACATTTGATTTTGTTGTATTGATATATAATTGGGCAAAATGCAAATAATCATCAAACACTTATGCTTCCAATGGTATAATTCATTTTAGCTTTAATACTTCTACCCTCTTTTTCACTTTGTTTTGTTTTCCTATATTTTCAATATAAGTACAATTTGAATGATTAACACAGTTTCACAATAATAAATTTCATAAGCAGTTGGTAGTGCATTTTGTTCTCTGAGTATCCACATTTGGTGTTTTCTTCATACATGAATGATGAAATGCACATGGATATGTCATAACAAGGCAATAAAACCAAATGAATTAACCTATAGTGTACTTTTATGCTAGAAGCTTAAAAGCTTTCAGAAATTATAAAGTTATTGGATTATATTACCTCTATCATCAATCTCATGAAAAGAAAAAAGCAAAATATTTGTAGAAAAGCTTTGAAAAGTGAAAACATTTATTTAAAAGCAGCAATGATGCATGATAAATCCCCATTCTGTACTCTAATAGGTAAATAAGCTCAAACTGTTTCTTAAAGAAATAAAATATATAAAATGTACAGTACAGTAATTTTGGGTTTCATCACTGAATCTTTACTTCAGTATAGTATTAGATATTAGTAACATTTACAACACTCAACTAAAATATTTTGATAAAGATATGACATGATTTAAACATTAAGTTATATAAAACCCAATGGCTTATTCAGTTTAATGCTTCACATCTGCATCAAGTCATCATCAATCTCTACAAATGTTTACATAGACACAAACTTTATGGCCTTTCCATTTTATATGTTGTGAATTGACATTTAATTAAGCATCAACACACACAACCTTCGCCATCTTTTCTTGGTTCATGAACTTTAACTTCAAAGCATTAGGAATCATTAGTTGAATCATTTCTCCATCTAGAATTTGACCATGATCAAATTAAATAACTCTGGATAAGGCAGACAATAAATCAATTATCTTTACAGCATTATCATTTTTAAGACTCTGCCTGGTCAATAACATCTTCCAGTCATCTTTACTCCTTGGTCTTCCCTGCATGTTGTCAGCAAATAGAACATAACAAGCTCTGCTCCAAATCATGGGTACTGTTGGGGCTGATCATTTCTTCTTGATACTTTTCACAGAGCAAAATGTGTGCAGGGTCTTTTTACTTTTAGGAAACTATCAAATAGATAGGTAAATTACGATTTCATGCATAACAAATGACAGAAAAGTATGCAGAATTTTATAGACAAACAGGAAAACATCAGTATATTTGGCGTTCAAGTCAGTCTTAAAAATACGATCTTTAATATGTATTTTATGGCTTTTCAAGTGCATGTATAATTGCTTTTCAATCGTTGACGGACTAACAAAACAAACAACTACCTCACCTGTGAGAAGCGATATGTCCTTTTGTGGAAACTACGACATCCAACAATTGAACGATTGAAGTGTTGGCATTATAAAAATGCCAAAAAGAATCGTCACAGAATATGGAACTAACGATATCCATATTCTGTGATATCGTGTTGTTTTGAAAAATTCATAATTTACTATAGACACCAGGGGAGGTCGAGAATATTATTTTCTGCAAAGCGATCATTTCAGCGGAAATACGTCCGTTGGCCGCCATTTTTTGGCGACCTCGCCCAGTAAAGTTAGCCGCTCCAGTTATTATAGAACTCAATGCATATCCCACCAGAGTTACATATCCCAGCAGAGCTACACATATCCAACCAGAGCTACATGCCAGTGACAGATTTTACCAGCGTTAATCGAACATATGTGAAAGTTGGAAAACACTTACTGTCTTCCTCGAGTGATTTCACAGTCTATACATTTTCAGTATAAGGTCATTGCTCGAAATTTTCCATTTCAGCCAATACCACTGCAGCAACGCGCTCCGTGCATCCACGAATGAGACCAGCAGTCCCATCCAGCGTCTCCACATCTCTCCTTTGTCGCCTTGATACAGGATTCAACGTCCTCTCAATATGATTTTCTATCAAAAACCAATTAAATACTTATACAGCAACTGTAAACACATTAGTAGGAAAGGAATGTGGTAAAGTTTGAAGCAAAACACACGCTTGGAAACTGGCTAATACTGTAGTACATTTTGTGTCTAGGTAATCTTTCTTACTACGTTGAACTCATTAGGATCGACGACAGTCACTAGACTTAATTGAGCAAAATGACACACAGCACAAAACATAACACAACAAACACAAACATGCACTAAGAATACACCATGATAAATCATTAGTATATTAAGCAGGTGAGGTGATCAATTGTCATTCATACCTGAAACAGTTAGAAATTGTCAATCTCGTGATCTCATACAGCTTCAACCAGAAGATGAACTTGACTTTCCCAAGTCGCTTTGAATGTGTCGATATTGGCACCTGCCGTACGACTACGTGGGCGGGCTGCCAACGCGCGGGCTGCATTTATCACCTAAAGTGAGGACTTTACTCGCAAAAGCTAGGCAAAAAGCGGTGTGCGAGCATAAGAAGACTGGGGCTGAATAATACTGTGTGTACAATACATTTGAATGCAAACTTTTCATAAGACCTACAGACACAACAAAAATATAGTTGTTTTACCAACCTGTGGACATAAATTGTGAATTTTCTTGGTGATCACTCGAAAAAGTTTAACTCCCTCAGCATTATTAGACACAGAGCAAGCAAGATTGGCGACCTCAAATGACACAATAAAATGGCATTTTACATTTACGTTAACCTGTTGTAATGAAAATATGTTAGTCAATGCAGGTACACATAAGTACACAGAGCAAGCGAGATTGGGTATATGTGCGCGTTTTATCTCCCCTCTCCCTCCAGGTTTGTTTATGCTGGGTTTTTTCCCGGAGTGCTCCAATAGTTTCTTCCTTTATCTTGCACTCGTACTTATAAGGCCACGTACCAACTGGTGGTGAGTATACATTTCGCAAGGTGGATGGACTATCTTACTTTCGTTACGACTAAACGGTTGAAATAACATATACTGTATGACTCTTTACCTCTTCCAGCTTCGCAGCTCCTTCGCTGAACACAATGGCGCATTCCTCGACCCCACGTTGATTACCATCTTTGGCAGCGTCAACAAGCAACATCAGCGGTACAGAGTGTCGAAAGGTATCCGAGATATGATCAGCCACGGCAACACGCATCTAAAACATAAATTTCTGACAATAAGAAAGCCATGTATGTCTGTTGAGTGTTGACGCATGATGTTTACGGCCGTAGTCAACACACTTTTACACAAGTTTACACGTTTACAGATTGGAGAATAAAGATACAAACTTGACGTCGTAGATCTTGAGTTTTGTCGGCCATCCTATCAATGGACTCATTAAGTTCATCGTTCGGTGTCGGTGTCTGTTTTGTCTCGGCCTGCGCAAAAAGAAAAACAAACCAAATAAAGGCAAGACGAGACCATCAATTTCATTTCCAGCAACGTAAACGGCATGACTTTAGCCTTACATAATGTATGTATATAGAAACAAGTTCTTGTAGGGCCGTGTGAACTTTGACGCATTCTTCGAGTAACCTTTCCTTCGTTGTTGGACGTGTTGTTGGTAAGTCGGATAATCTTCGCGCTCCGGATAAAATCCTTTCAGTTTGTTCTTCAATTCTCAATTGAGTTCGTCTTTCGAGAAAGGCGGCCGGGTCCATGACAAGACTCGCCTGAAATGAAGTAAGTCAATTAGGAAATGGTGGTTTTCACTGTAACTATTTGACTTGTGATGATGCTTAAAGTGAATGGTTTGAACCCGGTAGTATCGCTCCATGTATTGAAGGGGCAACTACCATGATCTATCTCACCTCTCTGTGGTTACTGGTGGATTGAAGGCGCAACTACCATGATCTATCTCACCTCTCTGTGGATACTGGTGTATTGAAGGCAACCACCATGATCTATCTCACCTCTCTGCGGATACTGGTGTATTGAAGGCAACTACCATGATCTATCTCACTCTCTGTGGATACTGGTGTATTGAAGGCAACTACCATGATCTATCTCCTCTCTGTGGATACCGGTATATTGAGGCAACTACCATGATCTATCTCACCTCTCTGTGGATACTGGTGTATTGAAGGCAACTACCATGATCTATCTCACCTCTCTGTGGATACCGGTGTATTGAAGGCAACTACCATGATCTATCTCACCTCTCTGTGGATACTGGTGTATTGAAGGCAACTACCATGATCTATCTCACCTCTCTGTGGATACTGGTGTATTGAAGGCAACTACCATGATCTATCTCACCTCTTACTGTCAAACTTCTGTCCAGGTATAATGACATTGAGCAGTTTACGATTGGGCAGTTTTCATGCGATCAATTCTTCACAACGAAGGGAACTCCGCTCCACTGACGTAACAAATCAGCAAATATACCTCACAATTTCAAATTTTCATGATGCAATGTGACGTCACAAATTTTGCAAAGCGTACATTAACGACACAAACTACAATATCTTGAGAACGAAGTGTCATACGAATAAACGGTTTTAGAAGAAACGCTATCTATTTGAACGTTATGTTCAATGAAAATATAATCTAAATAGCACAACTTTCGTGTCGTGTGCACTTTAAACGTCTTAAACATGTAGCAAGATGTAACAGCATGAAGTTCGGTGAAAAATTTGGTGAACACTTCACCAGACCAGACATGATGTTTACTTACAAGTTGCGATGCCTGAACAACAGCTTCCCCGTCAATTTTCTCGCGAGGATTTCGGTTCAAAGTTTCCACAGTTGAATCGACGACGTCGGAAAATCTTGGAATAACTGTAGAAGTTATAAATGTAAGCAATAATTAGTTTTAAATTCTTTTTAATAGTTGCTACAGACCTTGTGGTCATTACAAAAAACAGACGATAGAGCGATTTAACAACTAACTTATCAACTGCACACTCGCAATCCAATTCATGATTTGGAATAAAAACGATTCCAACGGATATTATATAGTTGTACTGAAAGATGAAACTTTGCTATTTGAATGTATTCGTTCAACTCCAATTAGAAAAACAAACAGAAGTGTTAAGTTATGAACGCGCTTTGTTTTGTGCTAATTAGCGGAAATGCAACTTGTGCAGACAATTATCTGTTCATTTAGCCATTTGTAATCAAAGAGTCAAAAACTCGAACCTATCGATTTCATATCTCGCCAGAGCTACACATATCCCAGCAGAGCTACACATATCCCAGCAGAGCTACACATATCCCACCAGAGCTACACATATCCAACAAGAGCTACACATATCCACCAGAGCTACACATATCCCACCAGAGCTACACATATCCCACCAGAGCTACACATATCCCAGAGCTACACATATCCCACAGAGCTACACATCCCACCAGGCTACATATCCCACCAGAGCTACACATATCCCACCAGAGAGAGCTACACATATCCCACCAGAGCTACACATATCCCACCAGAGCTACACATATCCCACCAGGCTACACATATCCATTGAGTTCTATAATAACTGGAGCGGCTATCTCAAGCGCGGCCTTAGATATCTGATGACGCCAAAAATGGCGGATTTCGTCCGTTGCCGCTGAGATTTACCGAAATTGACCGCTTTTCCGAAAATTTCACAATTTCCCTCCCTCCTGAGGAAAGAGTGAAGAAAATGTATGTGTGTATTTGGGATTTGGCAAGCAATTTTTGATGAAAATCACGATAAAACCTACAATTCTAACAGCGAGTCAACCTAGCTTTCCAGTTATCGGCTCCTACGAGGATGTATTTATAACTATCGACGAAAGAGCTATATGTCGGCTACACATCTATGAATGCAGATATGCGTCGTTTTCTTACCAGCGTCAAACTTGTTTGATCGATTAAACTCTTTAGTCTATACAAAAAGTATATCATAGTTCATCTCCACAGTGGTTCAGAGAGAAGTTAGCTTATTTGTTATCATTGCTATTTTGCTTCTTTTCGTGGAAAGGCAATGGCTTTTTCGCCACAATTGTAGGATTTTTACTTGTTTCTTTAAAAAGTAAATATTAAATCTCTGGATATTTACGGATTTTCTGTAATTGAGTTTCATATTAAATTTCAAAAGACTCAAGTCTGCATAGGTTTGGTAAATGAAAACAAACAATATTGTATAGAAATTACTTTAAGTAACCTTTTGTGATGTTCTGAAGTGCAACTGCATCAAATACTTGTAAAGTTGTAGCACATTTTGATTTTGTTGTATTGATATATAAATTGGGCAAAATGCAAATAATCATCAAAACACTTATGCTTCCAATGGTGTTTATAATTCATTTTAGTTTTAATACTTCTACCCTTCTTTTCACTTTGTTTTGTTTTTCCTATATTTTCAATATAAGTGCACAATTTGAATGATTAACACAGTTTTCACTTCAATAATAAATTTCATAAGCAGTTGGTAGTGCATTTTGTTCTCTGAGTATCCACATTTGGTGTTTTCTTCATACATGAATGATGAAATGCATATGGATATGTCATAACAAGGCAATAAAACCAAATGAATTAAATACCTATAGTGTACTTTTATGCTAGAAGCTTAAAAGCTTTCTAGAAATTATAAAGTTATTGGATTATATTACCTCTATATCATCAATCTCATGAAAAGAAATAAGAAGCAAAATATTTGTAGAAAAGCTTTGAAAAGTGAAAAACATTTATTTAAAAAAGCAGCAATGATGCATATGATAAATCCATTCTGTACTCTAATAGGTAAATAAGCTCAAACTGTTTCTTAAAGAAATATAAGAAATATATAAGAAATATACAGTACAGTAATTTTAAAGGTTTCATCACTGAATCTTTAATGCTTCAGTATAGTGCATTAGATATTAGTAACATTTAAACAACACTCAACTAAAATATTTTGATAAAGATATGACATGATTTAAACATTAAGTTATATAAAACCCAATGGCTTATTCAGTTTAATGCTTCACATCTGCATCAAGTCATCATCAATCTCAGTACAAATGTTTGCATAGACACAAACTTTATGGCCTTTCCATTTTATATGTTGTGAATTGACATTTAATTGATCATCAAAACACACACAACCTTCTTGCCATCTTTTTTTGGTTCATGAACTTTAACTTCAAAGCATTCAAGGCATCATTAGTGAATCCATTGTCTCCATCCATAGAATTTGATCATGATTAAATTAAATAACTCTGGATAAGGCAGACAATAAATCAATTATCTTTACAGCATTATCATTTTTTTAAGACTCTGCCTGGTCAATAACATCTTCCAGTCATCTTTACTCCTTGGTCTTCCCTGCATGTTGTCAGCAAATAGAACATAACAAGCTCTGCTCCAAATCATGGGTACTGTTGGGGCTGATCATTTCTTCTTGATACTTTTCACAGAGCAAAATGTGTGCAGGGTCTTTTTTACTTTAGGGAAACTATTTTGCAAATAGATAGGTAAATTTACGATTTCATGCATTAACAAATGACAGAAAAGTATGCAGAATTTTATAGACAAAAAACAGGAAAACATCAGTATATTTGGCGTTCAAGTCAGTCTTAAAAAATACGATCTTTAATATGTATTTTATGGCTTTTCAAGTGCATGTATAATTGCTTTTCAATCGTTGACGGACTAACAAAACAAACAACTACCTCACCTGTGAGAAGCGATATGTTCCTTTTTGTGGAAACTACGACATCCAACAATTGAACGATTGAAGTGTTGGCATTATAAAAGAAATGCCAAAAAAGAATCGTCACAGAATATGGAACTAACGATATCCATATTCTGTGATATCGTGTTTGTTTTTGAAAAATTCTTTATAATTTACTATAGACACCAGGGGGAGGTCGAGAATATTATTTTTCTGCAAAGCGATCATTTCAGCGGAAATACGTCCGTTGGCCGCCATTTTTTTGGCGACCTCGCCCCAGTAAAGTTAGCCGCTCCAGTTATTATAGAACTCAATGCACATATCCCACCAGAGTTACACATATCCCAGCAGAGCTACACATATCCAACCAGAGCTACATGCCAGTGACAGATTTTACCCAGCGTTAATCGAACATATGTGAAAGTTGGAAAACACTTACTGTCTTCCTCGAGTGATTTCACAGTCTTCTGTACATTTTCAGTATAAGGTCATTGCTCGAAATTTTCCATTTCAGCCAATACCACTGCAGCAACGCGCTCCGTGCATCCACGAATGAGACCAGCAGTCCCATCCAGCGTCTCCACATCTCTCTCCTTTGTCGCCTTGATACAGGATTCAACGTCCTCTCAATATGATTTTCTATCAAAAAACAATTAAATACTTATACAGCAACTGTAAACAGCACATTAGTAGGAAAGGAATGTTGTGGTAAAGTTTGAAGCAAAACACACGCTTGGAAACTGGCTAATACTGTTGTACATTTTGTGTCTAGGTAATCTTTCTTACTACGTTGAACTCATTAGGATCGACGACAGTCACTAGACTTAATTGAGCAAAATGACACACAGCACAAAACATAACACAACAAACACAAACATGCACTAAGAATACACCATGATAAATCATTAGTATATTAAGCAGGTGAGGTGATCAATGTGTTCATACCTGAAACAGTTAGAAATTCGTCAATCTCCGTGATCTCATCCACAGCTTCAACCAGAAGATGAACTTGACTTTCCCAAGTCGCTTTGAATGTGTCGATATTGGCACGTGCCGTACGACTACGTGGGCGGGCTGCCAACGTGCGGGCTGCATTTATCACCTAAAAGTGAGGACTTTACTCGCAAAAGCTAGGCAAAAAAAAAGCGGTGTGCGAGCATAAGAAGACTGGGGCTGAATAATACAATGTGTCGCAATACATTTGAATGCAAACTTTTTTCATAAGACCTACACAGACACAACAACAAATATATAGTTGTTTTACCAACCTGTGGACATAAATTGTGAATTTTCTTGGTGATCACTCGAACAAGTTTAACTCCCTCAGCATTATTAGACACAGAGCAAGCAAGATTGGCGACCTCAAGTGACACAATAAAATGGCATTTTTTACATTTACGTTAACCTGTTGCAATTTTGAAAATATGTTAGTCAATGCAGGTACACATAAGTACACAGAGCAAGCGAGATTGGGTATATGTGCGCGTTTTATCTCCTCTCCCTCCAGGTTTGTTTATGCTGGGTTTTTTCCCGGAGTGCTCCAATAGTTTCTTCCTTTATCTTGCACTCGTACTTATAAGGCCACGTACCAACTGGTGGTGAGTATACATTTCGCAAGGTGGATAGACTATCTTACTTTTCGTTACGACTAAACGGTTGAAATAACATATACTGTATGCTACAACTCTTTACCTCTTCCAGCTTCGCAGCTCCTTCGCTGAACACAATGGCGCATTCCTCGACCCCACGTTGATTACCATCTTTGGCAGCGTCAACAAGCAACATCAGCGGTACAAGAGTGTCGAGAAAGGTATCCGAGATATGATCAGCCACGGCAACACGCATCTAAAACATAAATTTCTGACAATAAGAAAGCCATGTATGTCTGTTGAGTGTTGACGCATGATGTTTACGGCCGTAGTCAACACACTTTTACACAAGTTTTACACGTTTTACAGATTGGAGAATAAAGATACAAACTTGACGTCGTAGATCTTGAGTTTTGTCGGCCATGCTATCAATGGACTCATTAAGTTCATCGTTCGGTGTCGGTGTCTGTTTTGTCTCGGCCTGCGCAAAAAGAAAAACAAACCAAATAAAGGCAAGACGAGACCATCAATTTCATTTCCAGCAACGTAAACGGCATGACTTTAGCCTTACATAATGTATGTATATAGAAACAAGTTCTTGTAGGGCCGTGTGAACTTTGACGCATTCTTCGAGTAACCTTTCCTTCGTTGTTGGACGTGTTGTTGGTAAGTCGGATAATCTTCGCGCTCCGGATAAAATCCTTTCAGTTTGTTCTTCAATTCTCAATTGAGTTCGTCTTTCGAGAAAGGCGGCCGGGTCCATGACAAGACTCGCCTGGGAAATGAAGTAAGTCAATTAGGGAAATGGTGGTTTTCACTGTAACTATTTGACTTGTGATGATGCTTAAAGTGAATGGTTTGAACCCGGGAGTATCGCTCCATGTATTGAAGGGGCAACTACCATGATCTATCTCACCTCTCTGTGGATACTGGTGGATTGAAGGCGCAACTACCATGATCTATCTCACCTCTCTGTGGATACTGGTGTATTGAAGGCAACCACCATGATCTATCTCACCTCTCTGCGGATACTGGTGTATTGAAGGCAACTACCATGATCTATCTCACCTCTCTGTGGATACTGGTGTATTGAAGGCAACTACCATGATCTATCTCACCTCTCTGTGGATACTGGTGTATTGAAGGCAACTACCATGATCTATCTCACCTCTCTGTGGATACTGGTGTATTGAAGGCAACTACCATGATCTATCTCACCTCTCTGTGGATACTGGTGTATTGAAGGCAACTACCATGATCTATCTCACCTCTCTGTGGATACTGGTGTATTGAAGGCAACTACCATGATCTATCTCACCTCTCTGTGGATACTGGTGTATTGAAGGCAACTACCATGATCTATCTCACCTCTTACTGTCAAACTTCTGTCCAGGTATAATGACATCATCAGCATATTTATCCTCATCGTCATCGTCACTTAATTTCTCCTATGGACATAAAATGTTATGCACGTAAGTGACAACTGAAACGTCATGATACTGGGTGAAACGGGGAGAATTCAAAATTCAAGAACGCACTTTTTCCTCAACTTTCTTTCCGTCCATTAAATCTTGATGCAGTTTATCCGACTTCAGCTGTTGTTTCGCCTACAAAGAAATATCAGTAAGCTTCGCTTTAGAAAACTTATAGATAAAGATGAGGTCCATACATAAGCGCACGGGAGCTATCATTTCTGGAGAGGGGAGTAAGAAATTTTCCCCAATTCACAAAGAGGTCCCGCCGTAATTTCGCCCGTTAAAAATTTGCCCAACTTTCCAACTGCCCCTGTCCCGTACGCCTATGGGTGCATAAAGTACTCGTATCAATGATAAATATAGATCAATCGGAGAGTAGAATATTTAGATGAATGAAAAAGAGAACTTTACTCCGTGATGAGTACTCGCAGTGCTACTGGCCAAGAGGTTCATTAAGTAAGAATGCGATGATAAGAACAATTTGAAGTTCGGTTTCTTTGTTCACAAAAACTTTCGCTTACCATTTCCATTTTTTGATATTCTTCTAGCACCCTTTGGTGTTCTTCAGGATCATATCCAACCCATCTTAAAGTAACGAACACCATGCAAAAATCAATGGCGAAGTACTCGCTGTGTACATAACTACAGCGACGTATCACTGAACAATCCCACTTCATGTGTAAACCATGTATACCTGTCTCTTTTGCCATCGTAGTCAAAGCTATGTTGTTCAGGGACATATTCGTCGGGTTTTATATCTTCACCGGTGAATTTAGCACCTACACGTCTAGGACGCTACCAAGTTAAGTGAAATAAATACTACAGATTGTAAAATAAGCAACGCGATTTATGAATGCCATATTTTCATACTTTAAAGATCATTTTATTAAATTACAACATGCAGGGTGCAATCACAAGAGTCGTTTAAATGTTTCTTGTTGTGCGTAGATTACCGTGAAGCATTGACTTTAAGCCCTCTGAATATAACAACACGCCCATTGTATTAGCCCATCATATATCGCTCACGAAAGTAACACGTGCAGGTCTTACAGTCGAGAGTCTACGGTAATCCTTTAATCTTGCAAGTGATTGATTTAAAGTGATAACCGGATCCGGATTTAGGCTCTACTATCCTCGATGTTCAGCTAGGCAAAAATTCCCATTAAAAAAGACCGACGCCACTAATCAATCTCATCAGACAACAAGAGTTAAAACAGATTTCAAATACATAATTATCATGAAAGAAACCTCTAGACAGTCTTTTTTCTTGTGAGTAATCGCACCACAGTTTTCACAGGCTCCTTTCGAAATTTTATCGCTGCAGTCTAAAGATTTAGACAGGTTACATTACATAATTTTCAAAACGATGAAAATTCACCAACGTGTAACTCGCTACCTCTTTCAAGCCACGTTTATACGATGCATCAATTTTAGCAAACTGTTTTTGCCTTTCTTCCTGTGGCCTTTGATGCTTGAGAGTTGGTCTAAATATTGAGAAAAATCATTTAAGGTCTGCATTTGTATTTTTACAAAGGACGTGGTTTGAGTTAAAACAATCTTAAAACTTTTCATTGTAGAATAATATTCATTGCAATGTTATGTGGTGTTCATTGTTAAAGACAAGGATGAATCTACAATAATTTTGTGAAGGGAATGGTGGTGCTCAAGCTTGGATTGCATTTCCATGGTTACTTGTCAATGTAGCATATCTGACTTTTTTTGTTAAACAACTGTTGGGAGTTAAATTCTAGCAAAGGCTTATTTTTGGTTAGTACTGAGCACTTGGAGCAGTCTCGATATATTTTTCAAAGGAGTCAAAATTTATGTCAAAACAAAAGCTCTGGCAGTGAGATTTTGTAAATGAGTAAAAACATTAATGTTTGAAGTCAAAATCAGATAGAGTCAATATAGTATTTAATTTATGTATAACGAAGATAACATGACATCTTTCGTTATACATAAATTAAAATACTATATTCGACTGTATCTGACACTATGACAACTCTCAGAGCAGTATTTTTGCTCTCACACTATGACAACTGCATAATGTGAGAGCAAAAATATTTTTATGACAAAGTGATTCAGAGACAAGGTGCTGTTTTTCATGAAAGTAAAACTATTTTGTAAAAACCTTTTCTTCATTCATAGCAAGATTTTCCAGTGTGGTGGGTAGTTACAGTATTTGAAAGACCGTGAAAATTAACACTAAGTTTTTTTGGCCAAAGCTGAAGTTTTTTATCCCGACCAGATCCAGAACCTGAGGTGAAGGTGAAAACCCTCGAAAACTACTCTTTGCATTAGCAAGTTGCTTTGAAAGTTCAAGATGTTGATGTTGAACTTCGGAAATTGATTGCTTTACACTAAAGTCAACAATTTTTGTTCTGCATATACTATTTGTATTTCAGTAAACAAACAAGTTGAATATATGATTTTGCATCAAATTTAAAAATCCAAGCCAGCAACCTCAGCAACAAACTATACGAAACAACACAATATAAACTATTTAACATACCCAGATGCTCCATAGTACCAAGGCATCCAAATATATTGAGGAATATGAGGGTTGATGTCTCTAGATAAAGCAAAATATTGAATGTATCAGATATTATGAAAATATTTACACAATTCATAAATAAAGTACTTTAAGCACTACTTTACAAGATCTTCAGTGGTTTAAAAAACCAAGTAATTTTAATTATCGCATAACAAGACAACACTTGGACATAGGATTTTATAAAGTGAATGGTTCAGACACACATGACATGTTTTCTCTCACAATATGTGTTATATTTATTCCACATACAATCTAGAATTATTATATAAACTTTAAAATTTAAACAATAAACAAACTAGTATATTTTAAATTTATTTATATATAACGTGAATCATTTCTAAGTAATATATTTTTTTAATTTGAAATGCTTCGTAAAATTCATAAATAATGAGATATAAATTAGTTGAACTTGAAATCGAATGTTTGAAGTAGAAGGAAACTGTTAAGTATTCGCAATCACAAAAATTACGAACATAAAAAGGCGCAAGATGGTTAGCCTTTTGACAAGTAAAAAGAAAGTTTAGACGGTACACATACTTTCCTGTTTCATCCTGCAAAGCTGGTGCAGTTCCTGCCTTTCTAGCTTCTTCTAATTCTTTTTCTTTCTTCCAATCTGTTCTTATCATTTTTTGCTGAGAACTTGCCGCACTTGCAGCTAAATCGAGAGATCGGAGCACAGACGCCATATTGAAATTTGGCACGTGAAACGTGAACTGAAAGATAAATACACCATCGTGCGCGCGCGAATTGTTTTATCGTCTTGCCGCGAAATACGATTTTACCCACTTTAACTTTTTTGTAAAAAAACATCATCGTATGCGCATAAAATAAATAAATTCTTTCCACTTTCTTGTGTTAATGTATTTGTATTTGAGACAGTGCATGGGATGAAGTGTTAATAAATTTAAATACTTACACGGACACTTACCAGACAGAATACGAATAAACGACATCGTTTGGTTTTGGAAAAGAAAATATATTTAGGCAAGTGTTTTGCCGTGTTTTAGAAATAATGACGTCATTTACTGAACCACGCATCAAATTTCAATATGGCGTCTGTGCTCCGATCCAATGAACTCCATAACAACTGGAAGGCTAACTTGGACGCAGTGAACTCGACATTTGAATAACTGGAATGATAACCGAAGCCAAAAATTGAAGCCAAAAAAATATTTGTCGTCATCATTCGTCATCACACGTCAGGCTCTAGTCTCTGCGTATTCATTTTAATTTTTAAATCATTTGTCCCTTGGTAATGGTAGAGTTCGGATCTTGATCAGAGCGTAAAAATAACGAAATTTTGGAATGAAAAGGTTCACGGAAAGTGAATCAAAGTGATAAATCGAGAAGCAGGGTGAGGTGAACTTAGTCGATCTGCTTTTACGCTGCGGTTTTCCTTTAAAACATATCAAAGTCTTTAAGGATATTCAATTACTGATATCGAGATGACAACCATTTAGTATTTCAAGCACTATCAAAATCGATGAAAGATACAATCGCTCTGTAAAAAGTAAAATGCGAGTTATAGACTCAACATTTTTTATGAACCTGGATATTCAAGTTTCTTTTTTATTCGGAAAAACAGATCTTTAAATCCATTGAAACGACAAAAAAAGACAAACACTGTCTGACACCGTTTGAAAATTTACCTTCCGATGAAAGAAAAATGTTTGCTTGAATATTTTCTCGTCATATTTTCTTATTGTATTGCCTTTTAGCATAAAGTGTAATTTTCAGTTGGCTTTTCCTCGTTATAAGTTGTAAGTTACAACGAACTCGCTGTAGTAAAGTTTTAGCTGTAAAAAATAACCTTTTGCGAAGAGTTGGCCTAGTGTGTTGTTCGTCGTGATGTTATTTATATGTTTATGCTTTTGCAGTTTGTATTCAAATTTATATTGGCCGTGTATGTTTGGCACTCAGGGGAATGAAACTGACGTACAAATCGCGTGAATATTCGACTTTGAAGGACTGGAACTGACGTACAAACCGCGCAAGAGACTAGGACTTTGGCTTCAATTTTATATCTATAAAATGTATTGTCGTTATCATTCCAGATATATATATATATGGAGTTCACTGCTTGGACGCCATCTTTGAAGCCTGCATGAGCGCCGCCATTGAAGGAACGGAGGCGAAATACATCACTTCGAAATTGCCGGATTTTTTGCAAAAAACAGTGGTCTTCAAGCCAGCTTAATGCCTAAAAACCTTAAACAGTGTTTGAACTTTAATATAAAACAAGTTTGAACGACATTTGTACATGTTTAAGCTTCTTTTTAGAAGGATGAAAAGTGAACTTTGTTTTGGCACGTGAAAACATGCCTTATAACTTGAATAAAACTGACACCCCTCGTTTTTTCATTAAAGGGATGTAAAATGCACTTGCCTAGCCTTATAATATTGTTTGAATCTGTGAAAATGAAGCTGTCAGGGCAAAAAACGCTGTTTTTCGGTAATTTTATTGTTTCCGAGCAAAATTAGCTCGCCCCAGTCCTTTTTGAAAGTTCAGAGCATAAACAAAAAGAAAAACACTTTGCAAAATATTTCAAAAAGTTAGCAAAAAAATATTTTGAGTTCGTTTTAAAAAAAACTGTCATGCCATATTATTGTGTTATTATTAATTGCACCATTAAAGAAACAAAAGGGTCAATACCCACTTAAAAAAAAGACAAAAACACAATTGACACTCCATATTCATAACTTTTGAAACACTTAAGTAAAAATTGTAATGTAATACAAGTATGAAAAAATTATTAGTGTAATATTATAGAATCATCATATATTTTCACAAATATGACCAAACATTTTAAACACACATCCTAATATTTAATATATTACATATACATTTATCATCAACTGTATTACAAGAAAAAACTAATTTTACAATCAATATGATATACTATAAAATTTTGATACATGATATAGCTTTGCTTGCTTTATAATCATTTTAAAACCCTGTTTCAAACCACTGAGGATGAGGGTTGCTTTTAGCATTTATGTAGAGCAAGTTATATTAGCAATAATTACCATAGTGTACACTTGGCTATTTATTTATAAGCATGAACTTGCTGATAAAATGCTCAATACACATTTATGGATGCATGTCAAATCTTCCACCAGTTCTTAAGAAGTGGGAGAAGTAAATGAGAAGAACCAACAATCGCCCACAAGTCAAAATTTCAAATCATCACTTTCACACATTACAAAAAGAGCATGTGAAATTCTTACAAAGCAAGTCTAACTTTGAAAGCAATAAAATTGTTATGAAACATGTTATATTAAGTGGATTGTGTGTATTTTGCACAGCATTTAAAGATACAGACTACCTGTTATCAGTTTTATCTTAAATTTTTGGTCTTTGGACGACAAATGAGAAATTCATATTTCGAAGCAAGTTCTCCCTTTTATGTTTTATATAATACAGCGTTAAGTATACAAAACATGTCTTGGAACGTCCACAATGCATCTTAACACATTAATAACCAAATTTTGCTAACGGTTTTGAAAAAAATAAAGCATTTAGGCTAGCATTCTATTCCCAAGTTAGCAGTTTTTGCAAAACAATCCGTCACGCAAATAAAACAGTCCACGCGAGATACACGCGAAGCGGCAAATCAGCTTCTATGTGGCTTCAAACAAGTCTAAGTTTGTTTATAATGAGTTAGCCTTCCAGTTGTTGTAGAGTTCACTGGCTCCGATCTCTCGATTTAGCTGCAAGTCATCACATAAAAATTCTTGATTTGCAAAGAAAAAGATTGGACTCGCTGAAATCTTGCAAACAAGCCGATTAAACGACTATACTAATAACCTATGGTAAGATATTGAAAGACGTGCATCTGCGATTCGTCTAACTGGCAAATGCTGTAAAGTTTTCAATGATGCATGATTCATGGCTTAGTTTTTCAAATAATAAAGACAATATATATTTATTAAATATCATGCTCTTATTAAAACCCGCAGGCAAGCTTTTAAATGTAACAACAAATAAATTTCTGTCAATTACATTTTCAGTTAACTGTCGACAAGCATGTCAGTGTTGTATCCATTGAACTAAAATAGATGGAAGTCTACACGTCTGTCGATATTTTGATGCCAGAGAGCCCACTCTTTCCACACAATATAAACGCACGGCCGATAGAAGCGAAGGAAAAGATAACTTGTATGATTTACAAATCTCCGAAAACAAAACAAAAGCCCTTTTTTATTTGGCAAACTAAACTTTTCAAATGAAATTTAACATTAAGCATACTTAACGTTTCGGCAATTAAAGTTTGGTAAAGAAAGCCCTAGTTTTATCTATTACAGGTAGCCTTCCTTCTATGATAGTTCAGTGGTATGAATGTTTTATGCAGTGCGGTGTTTGAAATTAAATGAAGATATGATTTTTGCTGGACGAAAAAAATCAGGTGACTGATTTTTTCAGGTCCTGAGACGATTGCTTAAATTGTCCAGCAAAGTGCGAAGATCATTTCTTCATTTAATAGTTCAGTAGTGTTATCACAGTTCTCTTTGCTCCAATTTTTGCACGATTTTATACTTTACTAAGCAGTTTGGTGAGAGGATGCAAATTGAACAGGGGACGTAACCTGTTTCATTTTTTCAAAGATTATGATTTGTTTTCACCACTTTCAAAGAGAAAGCAGTTTTGGTGTGCTAGTGAGGTCTATTAAACCAGACGGCAGCTACGTACCATACGCTTTAGTAAATTTTATTTTGAATTTGAGACCAACCCCCGTTTTCTAAAAGCTCTCTCACGCTAATCGGGTTCTCTCTAATTAATAGCAGAGTGATTTCTTCTACAATTGCAAGATTTTTGCTAAAATATTCCAATAGAATAAGCTTCCACATTCACATGAAATGTTTTACGAGCAGTATGTGAATTATTTCTGCAATGCTCAGCAATATATCTCGTTTTGCCCGAGTTATATATGTTTTAACAGACTGACCACGGGATAGTTCCTTTCCTATTCTCTCAAAATGATGTCTGAATATGAGTAGCTACTCAAAATAAACTCCTCTCACTTCTTAATCATAAATGCATGTGCGTTGATACAAACTTTTATTATACGCACGCAGCAATACGCAGATGTTCATTCTTTCCGGCAAATTTCCTTTAGTGCTGGCAAGAATTGTATTTTTTGAATGAACATTAATGATAAAACACCCATTAAGAAATTAAAATTACATATATGTCAACTAAATCTATTTCATTAAATATTACGTATTGTTTGCTGGGTAGTACTATTTATCTAAAGATCTATTTATTTTGCTGTTTTCTAACTGACTAAGAAAATCATCTTCAACGGACTCCTCCTTATGCACTGGGAAATACATTTCGTCATCATCTAGATCATCATTAAGATAACTTCTCCCTGAGTCAAAAGAAAAGTCATTTGATTTGCAATTCTATAATTACTACACGAGGATTCATGTTTAGATATGATTTGATAAGTCGTTGGTCCATGATTTGGCATGGCAGTATACTCACCATCAGATGTCTCTTGAATAGGCAAAATAAGGTGGAACTCATCGGCTGAATTAGATCCATTATTGTAACCAACCATTCTACTTCTACATATGGAAAGTTTCAAAAGTACTATTGAGTTTTGTAATATAAAGGATGTCTCGAATAAAGTACAAAATATTGATTAAATCACGAATGGCAATATATTGGTGTTTTATTGATATAGTGAATGATTTAAACCCGTGAGTATCGTAACATTTTGTATGTAGTCTTTATCCAGCTCACAGTCCAAGGGCCGGTTGCACAAAGCCTGGATAGTGTTATCCATTGGATAGCGAAAATTTTCAAACTTGTAAAAAAGGCGTTTATATTTTTCTTACAACAAAGAAATTTTGTAATTTTCGTAACAATATTTTATTTCAGCGATTGCACAGTTCAAATCGTATATTTTTCTCTTATGAGAGATTTTATGAGCGTTCAGAAAAACTTGCTATCCAGTGGATAACGCTATCCAGTCTTCGTGCAACCAACCTCTGCTGCAAAAAAGAGAAATTGTTTCATTTTCAATGACTTTGACGCTGATCTGAAGTATTTACACATTCTTGGAACTTTTGTTGTCTTTAAACATCCGGGGAGTTTTATTGCGCACCTTTTGAAATGCTTTAAACTTCTTGACTGTTTTCTGATATTTTTGACTCTGAAGATGACTACCGCTAAGGTTGTCGAAACGTCAGTCAACAACAACAAAAACAGTCCTTCTCATGACTTTATTAACCTGGACGATCATCATTTACAAACATGTAACGATCCTCCCGGGTTCAAACCATTTACTTTATTGACTGTTTTCTTTGTCACACCTGCAAAAGTACGAGAATCAAATAATTCTTTAAATTTCAGTAACATTGGTATTTCATAGATATGTGTATAAAGGGTCCATTTCCATATACTAGTAACGGCCCAGGTACCATGGCACAATGGCACAATGTCCACTCTTGGGCATGTCCGAATTCAAGAAAAGTTAAATTTTTTGGTAGTTTCCTTACAATAAGTTATAGCACATCCTTTCCAATTTAGAAAGATGACTTGCTGAGCTTAAAGTTTCTATTATCTAGAAATATTCTGGGTTTTTTTACAAGAGCATAAGGTAAAAAGTATTGATTAAAGTCACATTTACTTCAATGGCACACGTTGTTATCTGGAAAAAAATTCCGGCATTTGTATCATAAACTCAAATTAATTCTATTTTCGTACCATGATTTCCTATGCAAGCTTATGTACATTCTATATTAGTACTATTCACACGATACTGGACTCATACCGTGTCGAAATCGAAATCCAATCCGATGAAGCAAAAAAAATTAAAATAAAATCATTATTTATCTCTACAATTACGTCATTTCCCTGCAACACGAACTAGTGCACGTGGAGTAGCCGTATGGCGGCAAATCACAGTCGAAATCTCGACGCATTTCTAACAGAAAGGCCGTCCCATTTGGACTGATAGGGTGATTGAACTCTTGCCGTAGTGAATCATGAAGTTTGATTGTATGTGGAGGCAGACTGGAGAAGTATTGAATCGAAATTAGAGCCAATTGCAATTTGGAAATAACTCTTTGAATTGCAGCCAGAAAGGGGGTGAACTTTATACACGGGAATAAACATTGTGAAACTCTCTGGTCAATGTGCATGGAAAGTGCTAAGACAAAGAAAAGAATAGCTGCGAAGGTGAAATATTTGTTAAACAAGTATTAAATGATTAGACAGGGTCGTACCGGGGCTATGAAATTCATATATTCTGTTGCACCCAACCATTGAGTTGTATAAGACCTCAAGGTCACAGAGAACTCAATGCGTCCAACTCATATCTGTTGCATAAATGAATAACACCCTTCCCTAACTAATGTTGTAGCAGTGGCCCTGGGAAAGTGTTGTCCTGAAATTTTTAATGTCTTTAGCGAAATTTGAGATGCAGTCCTTCGACAACTAACCTTGAATATAGAGTGAATTTTTAAAATGCATAATTAGAATCAAGTCTCTTTATTTGTATCTTGCAAGTGTTTTAGGAGAGGTTAGTTCAGTGTGATCAGAGTTGGTAATTTTTATTACCAGATCCAGTTTGGTGAGCTTTGACAGCCCCACCTGCTTTAAATGATCACAACATATGGAACAGGGGAAGCAATCTACACAGATCAATGCTCATAATGTATTAAACATAAATTGTCACATTGGATTAGTCACTAAGAATGAACATCTTGTCATTCTACAAATTAATATTTTGCAACCAAGATGCCAATGAGGAATTATTGTAGACAAGATGATGCAGTTTAAAAAATCATGAGAATTTCAAAAAAAAATAGTTGCGCTATGGCTATATTATCATGTGCAGAAAGAATGAAGTGCAATATTTTGAAGCTGGCCATTCTTCTGGTGCATTCAAATAACTATCAATTTCAAGTTTGCACAAATTCAGATGCAACCTATATTATTGCACAGCGGCACTGGAAGGACTAAAATGAGGGGGCACATCTTTAAAATCGTCTTCACCAATTTGGCAGTTGTGTCATGTTTTCCACTTATTGTATGCTTTCAACACCCCTAATAATGCATCTTAATGTTTTGTTTAAGGAGGAGTATTCATTTTAAATGAAGTAATTAGCTTGTGATTCTTTACTGAAAATAATTTTTTCCTCATTCCAGGAACTTGCTTTTAAAGTTGAGTAGAAACTCACTGTCAGATACGATCATGTTCAAAGTAGCATATGGTATGTATTTCATTTAAAGCTCAATAAGCTTCCTTAAAATTATTAATTAAGCTTTAATTTACCAAGTGAATTTTCCATTCTTTTTGCTTAAGGTAATCTATATTTGCATCATCGTGCTGATTGTGTGGTTTCTCATTTGCAATTTTTGTCAAAGTAAGCATATTAGGGTATAGAAGATTAGCAGGAAAGCGTTTGGAGACAGAATGTTCACCATTAAACATTACTTTGGAGAGCATTTCATTGCATCACTCAGTATTTCAATGAAGCTAGTTCTGAATAACATACATACAGTACAGACAGACCATTTGATTTACAATATTTGTGTTCCACACAACTTTAAACATTGAGATTGTATATGCCTTTCCTGTTTATATAATCATCTTTGGCATCCACATAACCACATTCTTTTTAAGATTCCCTTCCCCCTCTGGCAAACCCAAGTTTAAAAATTTGTTTATACCTTGTCTTATGTTGTAGGGATGTCTTATGAATATTGTCCTTGTGAACATAAAAGTCGAAGGAATATTTCTACATGTTTGAGCACTCTGGCGACTCTAGTGTAAAACAGCAACAATGTGTAATCATCTGTTCTACTCCCCAGTCCTGAGCCACCATTTCACAGGAGGGTACATTGTTATACAAATTGTGTATATAAAGCATACAGGGTGTGTTAAAAAAATTCAATCCGTAGATATCATCAGACCTTTAGAATTTCCATTAATCCACAAGGAGGCATAAACACAACAAAAAAGAATTATATTCTTGGATTTACTATGTGCACTAGCTGCCTCCTTGGGGTACAATTACTGCTTAACCATGCATTTATAGTCAAAACTGGAGTTGATTTCAAATGGTTTCAATGTTTAAATTTTTTAATACCCTCGGTGCAGTGTTTAGTGATGAATCTTGAAGAGTGTTTAGTGTATGTGGTGTAAAGTGTGCAGGGATAGGGTGTATTGTGTACAGGGTGTATTGTGTACAGGGTGTATGGTGTACAGGGTGTATTGTTTACAGGGTGTATTGTATACAGGGTGCATTGTGTACAGGGTGTATTGTGTACAGGGTGTTAATTGTACAGGGTGTATTGTGCACAGGTTGTATTGTGTACAGGGTGTTAAGTGTACAGGGTGTATTGTGTACAGGGTGCATTGTGTACAGGGTGTATTGTGCACAGGGTGTATTGTGTACAGGGTGTATTTTGTACAAGGTGTTAAGTGTACAGGGTCTATTGTGTACAGGGTGTATAATGTACAGGGTGTATCAAAGATCTTTAGAAATTGACGTATTGTGATAATTTCAATTGCTACGACTAGGCTCGGCTCACTACTGCATAAAGTATTGTTAGCTACGTGCATATACTTGCGCAAAAGCTTTTCTTATCCTGGGAATTTGACACAAGTTCTAACAACAAAACATGCGCTGAAATGTATCACAGTGATTAGCATCGTCATCAGGTCTTGAAATTTCACGATAGGTTAGTTTCTAAATGTCGTCTTTGATACACCCTGTAGATAGCCCGTTCATATAAACGTGCCTGCTATAGTGTATATTTCGTCCACAACAGTTCGGTGGGCCTTCGCCAACGTACAGTTGTACTATTTAGTGACATACGTACAATTGTATCATCGTTAGTATGTTAAACTTCCAAAATGCGTTTGGCATTACGATTTATTTATGTAACAATGGTTTGAAAATAACGAATCAGCTTAAATAGTTACATTCCGTTTATTATCATGTGGCAATAACTTCAAATTTATCTGTGTAAAATACAAAGTACTTTCAATTAGAACTATCCATCTTGTTGTTATTCTAATTGAATAAACCCGATCTACATATAAGTTATAACTTACCTTTTTCCTTATATAAACCTTCTCTTTAGTGGCGCATGAAATCGAATTGATATTCGTGCAGCGGAATTTAAACCTCAATTTTTGAACGCAAGTGCGGGAACCGATGGCGCGAATGATTGGTTGAAATAAAAAAACATTTTTAGCGTTATTTACGTTTCACCTTCTCCCGAGTCCCCCCGACAGACATATTCCGCGCGTACAATCATTGTACAATCGAATTATTAGATCTGTGAAGTTGCCCGTTTGTTTATGTGTGTTTGGAAATATATATGTGTGCTAGAAAAAATAGAATAAAAACTGTATGTAAGTGACCACTAAAGATGCAATTTCAAACAAACCGAGAACCGTAAATACATTGCAATAAATGTTTGCAACACAGTATGAAATATACAGAGGTGAGTTAAATTTATTGATGATTTAGTATCGTGGATTTTGAACTAAACCGAAATTTTCAAGTTTTTATGAGTTATGGTGTATAGTGAGATGGCCGAAAGGCA